CTTATATCAAAGTTATGCAAGTCAAAGTTGGTTTTACAGTGTAATTGGTAATTTGTGAGCTCTATGTGCAGTGTTTAACAGAAATAAAAGCAAGTCATCAGCACAAGAGGGAATGTGAGAGAAACTTTACCTGCTGATGTTGCAAGGGATGTTTTTCAGTTCTTTTGATTATAGCAACCTCTACAGGCAGATACTGTAAAATGTATTAATTCAAAAACTCATACTAACATTATTTTGGTGAACAATACAAATGTATTAACACTTGCACATATAAATCCGCATGTGGTATACCATGTTTTTTTTTCCAATCCCAATCAATAATGTGTACAATACAGAGTTTATTTGTGCTGAACACACTGAGATCTTAATGAAACATACAGTATTTGATGCATGATTCATCAGTTTCTTTGTGTTTATGTGGCCATTGATAACATACACTTAAAACATAAAGCCTACATAAAGTTGGCTCCAGAGGTGTTCATGACATTACCTCTACTGTGCTTCACGGATGAGGTGCTGTTCTTTGGACCACCTGCAGTTCCTTTCGTTCTCCACACTTGAACTTTTCTTCACTGTTGTAAAGGTAGATCTTGGTTTCACCTATACATAAAACCTTGTTTTAAAGCTCTCCTGTTTCATCTTTGTGTTTCTATTCAAATGCTAAGTCCTGGCAGATGTAATATTATGGCTTTGGCATGTACTGTATGGGCTCTGCTGAAACGGGCTCACCCTTTTTTTTACTGATGATGTACAGTAACTACTGATGGTAACAGCAGAATTACATCTGACACCCCCCCAAAAAAATGTCTGCTAATGTAGCATTACAACAACACATCAATACCCAAAAATATACTGCTTATACCACCAAAGAATTCAACGGGAGCTTAGAAAATCTTAAACTGGTTGAATGAATCATCCAATTGAGCATGCATATTGTTATGGTAGTTGCGAGTGAATTTTCAGGTATCTCGGGAGTCTAGGGACAATAGTCAAAACATCTAGCTAGTGTCAAAATTTCTTGTTCTCAGGAGCTTCAGAGCAAGAAAGGAACTAAGTGTTTACTTGGGTCTGAGACACTGATCAAAGGAATGCTCTGCCTTACTTTGAAATAAGTTAAATGAGTTCTGGGTAAATGTTTAAGATTCATCAACAGCTGAGGAACAGAGGATAAATGTAAAGGTAAAGGACAGAGAAAGAGAATATAATTGCTCTCTGGCAAGGTTCAAATACTTATCTCCTATCGGGTTTTGCCTAGATGATCATGACGTAGGGGCTCTCGCCTGGTGCAAGCTTCAGGTTCCAACTACTTCTGTCTCTTCTCTTGTGATCTGACCTTCTTTTTCTTCTCTTCCTCTCTGTGGTCTTAATGTGATCTTATATGGTGTATTTCTGGACTGCTGATTGGCAATAATTTATCCACAACTTAAATTAAATAGGTAAACCAAGGTAAACTTTATGATTGCTTTTGATCACAGGATTAGGACCGCCTGATTAGGACATCTCTGCTTTGAAGCTGAACATATTTACACTGCCAGGTGTTACATACTTTTACTCTTAGAAACACATCTTAATCACCTATAGCTAAAACATTATGTTTGTCTTCTAATATAATGAACACATGGAATTTTACAACACTACATTAGAATATAGTACATTGGAATAAATGTACTGTCATGGTTACTAATTATATTGTCAATAGTTACTTACACATTCAAACTGCCTATTATTTCCACATTAAATACACTTTACTTTATTTGCTCCTGTTAAATGTTGCCATCTTATTTTTAACTCATCTGACATACAGTATAAGTATTATTTTGTAATGTAACTTAAATGAATATACACAATGAAGATACAACATCCAGAGTGATTTTCTTTTGAACAAATAGCAATATGACAGCAAATGTACAAGTTAGCACATTTAACATTCATAATGCAATTCTAAATTATAGGGATTAAATACCAGCTCATAAATTTCACCCATTAAAATTTCATAAGGTTAACGAATGTCACTTAAATATGCTAGCTTGTTATTCAAATAACTGTAAAATAAAAAAGTTACATATTCTAATTGTTTTGCTCTATGGTATGAAAAAAGCATTGAATATATGTTCCTTTACATGAAAATAAGATCAATTTTCACTGGTAATTTAGAAAAATTAAATGTTACTCTGAATATATTTTATTTGCATCTAATAAGAATCTTATTTTACTGTAAAAAGAAACCCAAGACTTTTATCAGGGCAGGATGAAAGACAGCTCTATTCTAGTCTGTCTGTAAGCATTCACATGCACCCTTAACTATCCACAAAGAGACAGCTTTTTGATAGCCCATAAGTCCCGAGAACAGATAGATATACAGTGCCTAGCAATTATTAAAGTATTCCCCTCATACTAATAATATCACATTTTTATGAACTGCAAGTAAGGTATTTTTTTGTATTCAAAACTGCCAAGATCAAACTGAATGCCATTTCAAGTGAAAGAAGCTGACTATCAGCAAAACCTGCTTACAAGTTATACAAAGTGAAATTTACTGAATATTTAAGTATTCAGCCTCCTTCAGTACTTCAAGCCCCCCGGTCAGAACTTGGTGGGAGTACCTTTGGCAGCAAATCCGGCTGTCAGTATTTTTGAATAGGACTGACAGTTTCTACAAGTTTGTTAGTGATGGGTGATAGACACAATTGTGTACACATTTCCTATTGGTTTCAAGTCAGGACTTTCAAAGGAACACTCAAGGACATTCACTCTATTTGTAGAAGATCACCATTGTTTGGTTTCGGCCTTGTGCCTCAGATCATTGTCCTGCTGCAATGTGGATTTTAAACCCAGTTTTAGATTTAGATTCTTGGGTGACTCAAGCAGGTTTTCCTCTAGGATTTGCCTGTTGTTTGCATCATCACTTTTTCCTCTCAGTTCTGGCAAGTGTCCAAGTCCCTGCTGATAAGTATCCCTGGTAACATGATGTTGACACCACTATACTTGACAACTGGGATGGTGCTAAATGAGTGATGTGCTGTGTTGGGCTTGTGATATATGTAATACTTTGCATCACAGACCTACTACAAAATTCAGACCAATGGTTCCCAGTCCTGGTGACCCATGGACCTTTTGTTTTTTTGTTCCAGCTGAGACCTCAGTTACACAATCAATTTCATTGACTTAATAACAACAGGATTAATTTGAACTGTTTGAACCCTGCTCTTGTTGGAGCTTTAACTGTTGTATTTTGTAAGAACAATAAAATCTAAAATGTGTGACAAAAAACAGATGCGGATTTTCAATTGAAACAACTTCTTAAATCAAGTAAAGCTGCAGTTATCTAATGAAGGTGGGATGGAATGAAAACCAGCAGGTGTGGGTCACCAGGACCAGGATTGGGAACCACTGGATTAGAGACCCTGCCAAGACTATTAATTCTAACTTAATCCTACCTGCTGAACACACTATTTTATTTCAAGATCCTTGTTGTCCTGCAATACCCATGCCTGCACACCGTTTTTAATATAGGAATGATATTGGCTATTTTAGTATTGGAGGCATTTCTAACCAAAAGCACATCCATCCATTTTCTATCCACTTTATCGAATTCAGGGCTGCAGGGGAACTGGAGCCTACTGCAGCAAGCAACAGGCACAAGGCAGGACCATCGCAGGGCACACTCAGGCACAGACATGCACACATGTACTGTATACCAAGGCAGAATTTCCAGTATGTCTTTGGACTGTGGGAGGAAACCAGATCCCCCACAGGAAACCCAGATGAACAT